AAAGGATACGTTACGTACTACAGTTAATAATACGGTTTTGCCTAAGATCAATATGATGTTATTTGACGGACAGCCAAGCAAGTACCACCGTTTTATTAGTCACTTTACAAGCAGTATAGAGAGTAGACTGTCTGACAAGTGCCAGTAGTTGTCATATTTGTCATACTTTTGGAAAATAATGGCCAGAACGGCTATTGAAGCTTGTATTTCCTTGCCCAGTCACTTCGGTTACGATAGAGCTAAACAAATTCTGTTTGATCTATTTGGTAAAGAACATCTTGTCGCTCGTCATCTTATCACTGAATTACATAGCCAAAAATCTGTTGAAGGATGCGCCGATGGCCTAACTGACTCTGATGTGAATTCTACGGCTAATCTGGAAATAATTGTGTCACGTTTACCCCAGGTATTACAGAATAAATGGGTGGAAGCTGCTGATAGAATCATGATGACCGGTATGCAGCCAATCTTTGAAGAATTAGTGATGTTTGTAGAAGAAATAGCCAGGATTGAGCGATCACGTTTCGGTAGATTGGTACATTGTAAATCGAAATTCCGTGAAAGTAATTATGAACGCCAATTTGACAAGAGATCAGGCTTTAATGTAGTTAAGAGGGAACCAAGCAACTCATTCAAGGCTTTAAGTTGCGAAATTTGTTTTGGTGATCACAATGAGAAAGACTGTATGAAGTTATCAAAAATGAATGTTACAGAGAGGAGGCAGGAAGTGAGAAAGCGTGGTCCATGTTTCCTTTGTTTTAGGAAGGGTGACACAGCCCAGTCGTGTAACTCGGATATAAGGTGTGACGTTGTTTATTCTAGGATTCTGAAAAAAAGTTACCACTTTATCCACGAACTCCATTATCTTTCAGCCTGACGACAGTGATGAAATAAAACTTAAGAACCTGTCTAGTATCACCTCCTCAGTTCTACAAAGTATTCTCTGTGTCATAACAAATTACCAAGTATTACTACATCTGGTTTTCTGTAACATGAATTCATAGTCGTTACTTCTTGTTGAAGAGTAGTATTAGATAGATCCCTGGAATGTTCAAAGAAGATGGCTCCACCAAAAATGGTTTTTCACCAAATTATGCTTCTAGAAGTTTAAAAAATAAACTGTCGGTTCATAATTATTGTAACTCCGCCAGTAGAACCTTAGGGGCTACTGCCAGTCCCAAGCCCGGATAAAGGAGGAGGGTTGGACATTGGGTTGGCGACCCCATTCCGTCGAAATCTCACAGCTAGGACAACTGAGACCAGCTTCAGGGGAACTTCTGTTATACTCTGGTCATGAAGAGGAAAATGCTTCACATACACAAGGAGTTGAACTGATGCTGTCCAAATATGCACAAAAGGCACTGATAGGATGGGAATCTCATGGGCCGAGGATCATTAAAGCATCCTTCAAAACAAAGAAACAGGACATTACAATGAACGTCATCCAATGTTATGCACCTACCAATGACTACAATGACGACGTGTTAAAGATCAATTCTACGAAAGGCTGCACTCAATCGTCGAAAAATGTTCACCAAAGGATTTGACGTTTCTTATGGGAGACCTGAATGCCAAGCTTGGAATGGACAACACTGAATGAGAGCATCAGAACTGAAAAACGAAAATATGTGGAAGATCTAGCAATGACGCCGGAGAAGGCTGCAAGAGACGGAAAATTGAGACAATTGTACGAATCAACAAAGAAGCTGGCCGGAAACTATCGTAAACCAGAACGACCAATGAAAAGCAAGGAAGGAAAAGTAATCGGCAACACTGAACAACAGCGAAATAGGTGGGTAGAGCACTTTAAGGAACTCTTGAATCGACCAGCTCCACTGAACACACCCAACATCGAAGCAGCATCCAAGGACCTCCCAATTAATATTGGCGCACCTACAATTGAGGAGATCAGTATGGCCATCAGACAAATCAAGAGCGGCAAAGCAGCAGGACCAGACAACATTCCAGCAGAGGCAATGAAAGCAGATGTAGAAGCAACTGCGAAAATATTTCACATCCTCTTCAAGAAGATTTGGGATGAGGAACAAGTATCATCAGATTGGAAAGAAGGATATCTCCTCAAAATACCAAAGAAAGGCGATCTCAGCAAGTGTGAGAACTACAGAGGCATCACTCTTCTTTCAATACCAGGCAAAGTCTTCAACAGGGTATTGTTAAACAGAATGAAGGACTTCGTAGATGCCCAACTTTGAGATCAAGAGGCCGGATTTCGTAAGGATCGATCGTGTACTGACCAAATTGCTACATTACGGATCATTGTAGAATAATCAATAGAATGGAACTCACCACTCTACATCAACTTCATCGACTACGAGAAAACATTCGATAGCGTGGATAGGAAAACACTGTGGAGGCTTCTTCGACACTACGGTGTGCCTGAGAAAATAGTCAATATCATACGGAATTCTTATGATGGATTCAACTGCAAAATCGTGCACGGAGGTCAGCTAACAGACTCTTTCGAGGTGAAAACCGGTGTCAGGCAAGGTTGTTTACTCCCACCATTTCTCTTTCTCCTGGTCATCGACTGGATTATGAAGACGTCGACGTCTGGAGGGAAGCACGGTATCAACTGGACAGTTAGGACGCAGCTGTACGATCTGGACTTCGCAGATGAGTTGGCTCTTCTATCGCACACTCAACAACAAATGCAAGAGAAGACGACCAGTGTAGCAGCAGCCTCTGCAGCAGCAGTAGGTCTCAACATACATAATGAAAAAAGCAAAATTCTCCGATGCAACACAACATGCACCAACCAAATCACGCTTGATGGAGATGCCTTGGACAACGTTAACACCTTTACATATCTGGGCAGCATCATCGACAACCATGGTGGATCCGACGCAGATGTGAGGGCACGGATTGGCAAAGCAAGGGCTGCATTTCTACAATTGAAAAATATCTGGAACTCCAAACAACTTTCAAACAAAACCAAAAACACGATTTTCAATACAAATGTGAAGACACTTCTACTGTATGGAGCGGAAACATGGAGAACTACGAAAGCCATCATCCAGAAGATACAAGTGTTTATTAACAGCTGTCTACGCGAAATACTTCGTATTCGTTGGCCAGACACCATCAGCAACAATCTAATGTGGGAGAGAACAAGTCCGATTCCAGTGGAGGAGGTAATCAGGAAGAAGCGGTGGAAGTGGATAGGACACACACTACGAAAAGCACCTAACTGCGTCACGAGACAAGCCCTCATATGGAACCCTCAAGGCAAAAGGAAAAGAGGAAGGCCAAGGAACACACTACGCCGAGAAATAGAGAAAGATATGAGACGAATGAACAAACATTGGACAGAACTGGAGAGGGAAGCCCAGGACAGAGTTGGTTGGAGAAAACTGGTGGGCGGCCTATGTTCCATTTTGGGGAAACAGGCGTAAGTAAGTAAGTAAGTAAGTCATAATTATTGTAAGTGCGATCACAAAGCTTGAAATAACTGGAAAAAGAAGACGATGTGTGATTGTCGATAAATATATAATATCGACATGGAGGAGGAAGAGTTAATGTGAAGTCCCAGAGTGGATCTCAGAGCCAGCGTAAACATCTAATCGAAGCTAGAATCGATAAAGTACATGGTGTAACTTCTCTGCATCTGAGATTATGGAACTAGTTAAACTATTCATATGTACACGGAAGTTTGTTTTACAATATTCAAGCCGAAGTAGAAGAAATATTCAGTATGAACCATCCAGACTAATATTAAAGGGGTAGAATTGGGTGCTGAAAAAGAGAAATAAGGAGAAAGGGACGAGGACCAGGACAGAAAATATTCTTGTTTAAAGCTAAGTCATGACCCAGTAGATAATATTTTCGGATATAACAAAGGTATGATCACTCAGACCCTTTTTTGTATTAGAGCACTAACTGTACACCTGCACTTATATGGGTTAATAAAGGCAAGCCACTAGTAAGATAACGAATGGGTAAATAGCCGTGTAAATAGAGGAAATTCAAAAGAGCTAAATTGTCAGAAATGATGTTGATTTACAGAATATAATAATGAAGCACAGTGATCTGATGCTTTTGTGACATTTTATTGATTCCTTTTCTTTTTAACGCTATAGCTCTAGAAGCTACGAGTGAGCTCTTTTTCACCATTATTTTCTAGATCTGCTTGTTATAGGATTTCTTGGTAGGAAGTGAAACCAGAGCAGGGTCGTAGACGTGGTTGACATAGGAAAGTAACATCCATATTATTGATTAGTTGCGTCCTGCTATATCGTAGTGAGCCGTAAGTGAACAAACTGTTTTGCCCCACAGACATGGGTTGATTGAGGTTATCACTCGACCGTCATGAATGTTGGTCAGGTACACCACCCTCCCTCCTTTTGTGATGTTAGGTTCTCCTACTTTCAATTGTAGATTTTAAATAATGTTTTTTAGTTTATGATCTATTTTTTGTACACCTTACCGGAACACACTTTCTCTACTGGCTCCATGTTACAAGCAACATATTATTTTCTAGGGGAGACTTAGGTTGTTTTTCGACGGACAGCGCCATAAAGGTTCTAGGAAAAGATATTTGGATCTTTCTGTGTAGTCGAGAGTATGGTTCCATCACTAAAACTTCCAGCTTTGAAGTCTCTTGATACATTGATGAAACCACCACTATCCATTTTAGGGACTCGGTCACGGTGAAAGAGTTCATAAGAGTCTTTTAGAAGGTATGAGTCTGGAAAATAGGAGGAAAGCCAGCTTTGGGTAATCAGAACAAGTGAATGGTTGTTTAAAATTACCAGGGAACGTAGGTATATCATCTAATTGGTTACGGATCGGTAGTTAATTAGTATTAGTATTGCACAGGGTGAGTGATGGGCATCAGGTGGGTTGTTTGCTATATTATGTGCAGAAGGTAGGAAAATAGGCTTTGTAACTATGCTCGTTTGATTTGTGATCAGTATAGTTGGTGGGAGATTGGTATTCAGAGATTGGTGTGATGAGAGAAGCACCTGTGGTACAGAATGATGGATTACTTACTTACCTACTTACGCCTGTTACCCCCAACGGGTGTTGTAGTCCTGTCACGGTTAATTCTAATCTTCTTAAATAGCGGAATGGGTATAAGTAGTGACTAACTCCCATGATATTGCTAAACTGAAGAAGAATGGGACAGGGAAATGTAATCTGGACTTTACGTAGGAAAATTCACACTCTTTCAGTAGGCTGTTTTTACAGACTTTAGGCTTGCACTGCCAGGTATGTTATACACAATGGCATTTTGTATGCTCTGGAGATTTTTTAGCACTTCTGAGGATATATGGTCAATTACCATTTCAGGTTTTGTATCATTTCGAGATCAGTATTTTCTGGTGCACTGATCATAAATTTGTAAGTTTGTTAATCGTGTATGGTTTGGTTTACGTGAACTTCACTCGAACTGTCCTTAGAATTGTTATTGGCGGAAGTATTTTTGTTTATTTTTTAGCCGTAAGTTGATGAGATTGTGATCGAATTTTTTACAAGTTGTTATTGTCTACTCAACCTGATTATATTCATATGAGGATGATATCCTGCATGCAGTGGACGATGTTGATTCACTTGGTTTGAGGTTCGTTGTATGTATATCTGCGAGTGGGATACAAGGTAATGAGAAATGGTGTTCAGGTTCACCGTACATTTGTAGTCAGCCTGTAGGAAGATCCGATGCAGATGTATCACTGTTATTACAAAGTTTATTTCAATCCACTTTGGTAGCAGATTTGGATCTTTTACAGGTGTTGTGTGCGACAAGAGAGATAAAATGTTTTTGGAGTCATTGGTAAGTAGAATTTTTACTATATGGATAGTGTCTGTCCAAACTTAACCTGATGGAAGGATATCATCTAAAGGTAGGAGTAAGTTCAATACTTCTTGATCATTAGGAGTATGAAGCCGAAAATTACAGTAAAAAGGTAGAATAAGAATAACCAACGTCTGGGCATAAAACATTAGTTTATATATACCACTGACCTCGAGTAAAACGATCGGAAAAAAAGGTAAATCACGTGAGAAAGTTACGTCATTATTGTAATCCTTAATGCTAAAGCGACCCTTTATATTTCACACAGTTACAAGTATCGTAATAAGGAAATTATCCAACTTAAGATCCTCAAGGGAAGGTTAGATTGATTGTTTTTGTACATATCCAACTAATTAGTTGGTAAATTAGGTTACCATTACTTCTGTTGTGTCATAATCCGTTGCCTTTGAATAAAATTTAAATCCAGACTTCAGTTTCTTGGTTAAGATAGAATAAAAATTGTCAGGGAATCTTTTATTTTACTCTTTGGGAAATGGATAGTTGAACCCAGAAACGCGTAGGACGGCGTATCGAACGGTAATCTGGTATAGATATGTGACAAGGCGATTTCAGCTTACAGAATTGTTTATTTTGGGAATTGCTTTATCTCCGCACCCTGCTTTTCTTTAGCATAACATGACACACTTCGTTAGACGTATTATGAGCCACAAAATGCAGTAAGACTAATCAGGAAACTTGTGAAGTAAATATTATTCACAGTCATTTCATTCAAATGGACATACCTCGTAACTGAATCAAGTTTCCTCGTCACACGTATTTATTCTCTCACCAAATCTGGTGCTACATACTTATCGTATCATGAACTTCTGAAATACAGTGTATGTTCAGTGTGATTGGGTATTTTAAGTGTGCCGAATATTTAACTGTAAGCAAACATTTTTTAATGAAAGACTATTTTATCATTTGTGAATTCATAGTATGTCTCTTTCGATGTGGTATAAATGAAAACAGTTTAGATAAGCTGTTATTTTTAAAACAACTTTCTTGAAGTTACTTACAACACCCTTTGTCGGCTGCGTCTTCTCTGTTCGCCATCCTCGGATTATAAATTATATTTTCTTTATAAGACCGCTTAAAAGCTCGAAAACCCTATGCATCTGTTCATATTCCACAAATATTGGCGTTTCATAATCAACTAAACACATTTTCCTGTGAAAAAACCACTGCATCGCTATTATTCTGTCCAGTTGACTTATGACTGACATAACTCAGAATATGTGTTAAGTTAATGAGTTTCTAAGCTCCATTGATTGTCACAAAGATATTGGAGATTGACAAATGACAAGCCCGCGGCCTCTTCAAGGGTAAATCGCCTGGACTGCGATCGCGCCCCAAAGGCTGATTGATACATTGCGATTAGTTCCACAACGTGTTTGCTACTGTTACTGGTTTTAACCGTGTACGAAACCTTACGGACTGCAAGTGTTGGTGTCAGCTTGTTTTCTACTGGGTCTTAGAGACGTCCCATTATAAACCTAGCTAGGATGGTGTCGGGCCTTCCTCAAATGGGACTTCTGAGTGGTATGGAAGATGAAAACGAACAAGCCCCTCGTGGAAATATTCTAAAACTCTGGGGGAATCCACAGACAATGAACTTGAACACAATGATCTACACGAACATTGTCCAGTCCCCATACTTCAAAGCTAATTTAGTTGAACTGAAAACTTACCATGAAGTTATTGATGAAATATATTACAAGGTTTGACTGAGTTTTCACACCGTATTTTGAAGTTTAGGTTGAACATCTGGAACCATGGGAACGTGGGAGTAGACGTATAGGGGGTCAAACAGGTATGTGTGGTGGAGTACGTGGAGTGGGTGCCGGTGGTATCGTGTCAACGGCTTATTGCCTTTTGTATAAACTTTTCACTTTAAAGCTTACAAGAAAACAACTCAAAGGTCTCCTTGATCACCCAGATTCTCCGTACATACGTGCACTAGGCTTCATGTACATAAGGTTAGTACATTTTATAACCCATGCTAACTGTGTTACAGATATTGCATTCCCCCTGAAGACTTTTGGTGGTGGTATTCACCATATTGGAGTGATCCTGAGGTAAGTATAGAGACTCGATAAGTTACCAGTTCCGTAGCACTTCCTGGTTCACACGGGTTGATGGTCTTTTCGGGTCAGTCGTCTAGCCTATGTTACTTGTAAGGCATGAGATATATGTTTTTTTTCGTTGTTTCCTCCTGGATTTTATGTTAATTTTTATCTTTTAGGAAATAGATGTGAAGGCAGGAGGTGGTTGCATTATGACTATAGGCAATATGTTAGAACACTGGTTAACTAAACTCGATTGGTTCTCTACCTTGTTCCCACGTATCCCTGTCCCGGTTCAAAAGAAACTGGAGGAAAAAATGCGACTTCGCAAATGCCAGGCACTTTTAGAGGTTGGTTCTGCTCACGAAAGAGACAGTAAAAGGCTCTCAGATCGGGATCGCGATGGTTCACATAAGTCAGGTGGACATTCACACAGACACGAAAAACACAGGTAGGTAGACATGTCTTAAATGCACTGTTGACTTATTACCTATTTTTATCAACGCCTAATCTTTCTGTGACGATGTTGCTTAAACCGTAGATGGTTACCAAAGTCCACTGAACGTTTGTAAAATTATGAGTATTCATTATTGATTGTTGAGGACTAGTCTAGTTTTATATGTAGCAGTAGATCCTGTTATTGTCCACCTACAGCCAAATACAACGCAGAACTTCGTACATAAGTACATCAGTTCAGGTTGCCATACCACAGCACAGAGACGCAATTGTCAGGTCAAATCCAAGAGTGATAGTGATATTAAAAGTATTAGCAGCAATGGAGATGATTATAGTTCGAAGATATGTCTCGAAAAGTATAATTCAATGACATAGATTTGTAAAGAGAAAAATAGTGTCCAGTTACTGGCACCGACAGATACAACTCAGAACTTCGTACGTATGTACATCAGTTCAGGTTGCCATATCGCATTAGCACAGACGCAACCATCAGTTCAAATCCCATAGTGGTAGCTATAGCAGAAGTATTAGCAGTAATCGAAAATTTTAGGGTTCGACGATATTATTCAAGGAGTAGAATCTAGTGAAACAAACTTGAAAGAAATAGACAGGTGATGAGTAATTTAAAATGTTATAACTTGAGAGAACGCAAAGAATGGACGCACCTGCGCCATTGCAAACGGTTTTGAACCATGTCATTCAGGGTCTCTAACCATCAATTACTATCATCTCGCGGACCCCAACCAAGTAGTCGACACCTACTAACATGACTCAGTCCACTTATCAGTGAATTCATGGATTTCTGTCATGTTTTGGCTTAGCCGCCCCCAGCCTTATTCCAACCTATTCCTAAATCGCGAAAAATAACTCGACGAGGCAGTCGATGGTGAAGTGGTCAACATGCTCAACCGCTTCACTCCCTATCACTGATTCAGGTGCCAATACAAGCAAGTCCTGAAGCAACATTTAGCGTTGCGACGAAAAGAATCGCATCCCGAACATTCTTACATTGTTGCTTAGGGTAGTCAGAAGGCTCTGCATTCTGTCAGCGACTTCACCGAGTAAGACTATGTCACCGGCATATTCTAAGTCAACCAGTGAATCTCCTGGTAGAAGGTTCACTCCTGAAAAGCCAGACGAATATAATGTTATCTCTAAAAACATGTCAATGACAAAGTTAAACAAGAATGGAGAAAGTGGACATCCCTGACGGACACGACTTGAAATAACCAATTCTGATGACAGTTCGCCATAGGCTCTCACTCGACCTGTAGTGTTCGAGTGGAGAGCTTTTATAAGGTTAATGTACTTTTCTGGTACATCTTTTAATGACGGACACTACCGCAGAACCTCACGACCAACAGAGTCGGACTCTGCTTTAAGGTCAAGGAAGACGACTATAGTCGGACGTCTGTGTCTGTGTTCCAGGTGCTGTCGTAGTATGACTGCGGGTCCCCATGTCAAATAATGTTTTTCCTTATGCTTTAAGTTAGTTTTTGTTAGAACTGGGATGTCGTCTGAACATATCTGCATCAGACAGTTACTATTATCTGTTTGATCGTCCGCGACACCATAAGATCCACCCAGGTGTCTTTCAGTTTCACTTAGTCAACCTACTTGAGCACTGAAGTCATCCGCCCCTATTACTTCATCAAAGTGCCTAATGTTTTGGAGGAGATCCAAAAGCTTTCTGTAAAACTCATCTTTTACCTCATCTGAACTGCAGTCAGTGGGAACGTAGGCAGAGACGACGGTGATTGTCCCTATCTTTTCGAGTCTCTACCGTCCTGTGTAGTCGGACAGTGCACTAGCGACTCTCTTCTAGGACCCATTCTAGGAGAGCTAGGAGTCAGTGCTATATCTACATCAGCGAGGCCACGGGAAGCAGCAGTAGGGCTTCCAGATATACTCGAAGCGTAAACCGAGTCGGTTCTTTATATGGACAAGGTGAAGTCAAATTAATTACTGTACTCGGATCCTGTATGTGCGTTTCCGAGACGCAGCATACATTGATGGTGTGAGATTCTAAAGTCCTAGCTAAGGAAGCTTGTTGACCTATTCGGCACAAGATTCGAACATTAAAAGCTCCGATTTGTTGTTTGGAGCGGAGTTTCAGGATACCAAGAATAACGTTTCGTGAGCTCAAACTTCGCGTCAGCGGTGCGAGGTGACCAACGATCGAAAGAAGGGTTGGTTGTGGAGTTAAGAGAGTTATTAAGAGATATAGAAAAGATTTGATTCTGACCGATTTTGTCTCGTGTACTTTTGTGGGTATGAAGGCGGGTGTAACTTCCCGGCTACCCACACCGTGGGAGGGTTCTGGTTGTCAGAAGGGGCATCGGCCTCGTAACTTCCGAATGAACTCGGCTTTCATTATGAGACGTCATAACTCTTCTAAATGAAGACCTAACTCCCAGAACAGAGTTTAAAAGCTTTGAATGATTTTTTCTTGTTAGCGTTTTTTAGCGAGTTGGTTTTTGGTGGATGGGGTTGCCAACCCCAACCCTCCTCCTTTATCCGGGCTTGGGAACGTCAGTAGCCACGAAAAGTCTACTGGCGGGGTTTCAGCTCGATACCTGCCATCTTTGTAAAAGTTAAGTACAAGACTGTCTCCTTTTTGATCATAGGTTTGAACTCCTACCTAGTTTTGATAACAGAACGCACTTCTATGTTGTGTTGAACCCAATAATGTGAACAAGGGGACCTTTTAAAGCTCATCTCGGTAGAACGTCCAAGTGTGTACACAGGAATGAACTAGTTAAGTACTTAATCAACCACGGAGAGGAAAGTTAATCTGAAAGAAGCTTGGCGTGATATCTAAACAACTTTATATACGGCACTGATATTTGCCAGAAAGTAAGAAGGTTAGAAAAAAACAGTTAACTATTTTCCCGACTGTAGCTGCTACCTGGGACTTGTGGTCGGGCAGCAACTTAAGGTCTAGGGGCGAAGTCGTACCGCTAACTGTAGAAAGGTGTGGCAACAGTAAGGTGTTTCTCTCGGACAACCAACATCTGTGGCAATGCCGCCTTCTTACGACGGAAGGGGTTAAGAAAGATAGACCCTAAAATTGTTACCTCAGCTTACCCCGTGGATTTAGGTCTCAAGAAATACCCTTCTAGGGTATGGGCAACTAGGAAGAGACCCGCTCTCATATCCCTAACAACACACCAGATCAAATTGCTTGCAATCAAGTCCTTCATCCACTTCTTAATAACCCTTGTTTTCACGACTAACCCTTCTCGTATACCTTTATCATCTCGCACCGCTGATGCTAAGGATTTTCAACTTACGAAACACAGTCCCTGGTCCCCTGAAACCCTGCTTCAAACTACATCTTAGAGATTTTAGTGTCCAGACCTTGTGCCAAATAGGACAATAGGTATCCTTATCTAAGAGCTCACCTTGTCAAAATAAAGAACTGTCCCGATTTCGGCTTCGTGTATCTGGAAGCCTCATTGATGCTTCCCGTGAACTCGCAAGTGTAGGTAAACAGTTACTTCTGCACTGTCCGACCAAATGGGGCAGTAAATACTCGGAAATTTAGGTACATTTGTTGTTGCCTTTTCATTGTCTCTATCTACGCTTCGACTGACAGCAGCTCAAATGAAATAGAAGATGAATTTTAAGGAAAAGTTTCCAACCTCTCCGATGTAGTAATAGTGGCTGGTGACTTCAGTGCTCAAGTAGGTAGAATAAATGAAACTGAAAGACCTTGGTGGATTTACGGTGTCGCTGCTCATTGGACAGACAACGGCAACTGTCTGCTGCAGCTATGCTCAGGTAACCACCTATTTCAAGCAAATACTAACTTGAAGCATATGGAAAAACATCATTTGACATGGTGACCCGTAAAATTGGTCCAACGTTGGACCCAACTAGATCACATCGCTACAGATGGAGAGGCTCGATACAAGACTGCCTCTTGGAATTCTTGTGGTGTCGCGGCCGACCGAGCAGATAATAGTGAACGCCTGCTAAAGATATGTTCAGATAACCTCCTATTTCCAGTAATTACTAACTTTAAGCATATGGAAAAACATCATTTGACATGGCAACCACCAAAGTCGTCCCAACGCAGGATCCAACTAGATCACATCGCTCTCAGCCATCGATGAAGGGGCTCGATGGAAGAATGTCGCTCATTCTGAGGCACATGTTTAGATTCAGATCATGTCATAGTACAAGCACGTATTTGTCTGCGTCTTACTGAACGTGAGAAAGACTGCAAGGAAAGCCCTTGGAGTTCTACTTAACGATAGTAAAACCAAGAGTTTATTTCAGGAACAATTAGAAAAACAGTTAGGCAGCCATGTAAGTGATGCTTACCCCGAGGCAGCTTGGAATGATGTCTAAAAACTGTGCAAACAGCAGTGATATCTACCAGTAAGGTAAACTATAAGGTTGGGGAGAATTACTGGATTTCAGAAACATTTACTGAACTGATAGCTGTTCGGAAACTCACCCCGTCTGTCTCTAAATACGATGAGGTGCGAAGGCGGCTTAAACACTGGCTGATAAGAAGCCTACATAATGATTGCTAACAGTGATGGGTAGCGAAAGCAAAAGAGATGTAAAAGGCGACTGCGATAGGTAGCAGTAGACGTTTCAAGGAGAACGGTATCAGAAATCCAACTGTTAGAGCGACTAGCTCCGAAAAAGATATGCATATTATTCACTGCCAATCCAGGAGATTGGATAGATGGACAGAACACTATGGGAAGCAGGTCAACTGGCCTTCAGCTACACTTCCCTTACCCACAATCTCCTGTCTACTCAGAGATTATGGCAAACTGTCATCAGAATTGGTTATTTCAAGTCGTGTCCGTCAGGGATGTCCACTTTCTCCATTCTTGTTTAACTTTGTCATTGACATGTTTTTAGAGATAACATTATATTCGTCTGGCTTTTCAGGAGTGAACCTTCTACCAGGAGATTCACTGGTTGACTTAGAATATGCCGGTGACATAGTCTTACTCGGTGAAGTCGCTGACAGAATGCAGAGCCTTCTGACTACCCTGAGCAACAATGTAAGAATGTTCGGGATGCGATTCTTTTCGTCGCAACGCTAAATGTTGCTTCAGGACTTGCTTGTATTGGCACCTGAATCAGTGATAGGGAGTGAAGAAGTTGAGCGTATTGACTACTTCACTTATCTTGTGTGTCTCATCAGCGCTGAAGGCCTAGTGTGTGACAAAATCTCAGCACGGATGCAGAAGACTCGATTGGCTTTCGCTAACTTGCGTCACTTATGGTGTAGGGTAGACATCCGTATGTAACCAAAGGACGAGTGTAATGCGCAGCAGTTCGCCCCGTCCTACTATCCGGATACGGAACATGGCCGGTAAGAGTTGAGGATATACATAGGTTGTTTGTATTTGATTATAGGTGTCTCCGAAGCATAGCTCGTTTATCTTGGGACTATCGAGTAATCAACGGATGCTAGATAAGAATTGCAAATCAATTGGTGCAGTAGTGATTTTTCATAAGTTGAGGTGGTTTGGACTCGTATTACGTATGTTTAACCACCGACTGTCTCGATGAGCGATGTTATCCAATGAAGGGGTGAGCTAGGAGAAAGCTAGGGGCGGCCAAACTATTACATGGCAAAAATTCATGAAGTCATTAACATTTGGACTGAGCCGTAGGCTAGAAACTTTGAGTAACGTGGTTCGAAATCGCTTGCAATAACACCGATGCATTTATTCTTTGTCTTCTATCTAATTGTAATCTGTTGAATTCCTCATGATGTTCTTTCTTTTTAAATTTATTTCACTGGGATTTACTTTAGTAATCGTATCTTCGATCCCTAATCTTTTTCATTACCGCTAATACTGTTAAAACCTCTACCACTACGTGATTTTAATTAAAAGTTCGTTATTTCTGTGTTAATGTTGTATGGCAACTTGAACTGATCTACTCACGTACCAAGTTCTTCGTTGTTGCTGACTGACTGGATTAATTCTAGGAATTACTTCAATGCCCATGAACTCGTCCTGGTAACTTCAGTGGAAAATATGAAGCAAGAACAATTTAATCGGAAACTATTAAGGGGTCTATGCAATAATCGTTGGGAGAGAAAATAAGAGAGATGTTAACAGCAGCGGACATAGGTAGTGTCAAATAACTTTTGAGACTCATCTGGGAAACAGGTATTATAAAGTCGGTTGTGGAAGTATTTCCGTCAAAGCTAAGACTGTGACCTACTGACACTAAACTACTTCGGCGGGAAATTGACTTCTCTGAATTAATGTATATCAATGTTTTCGTAGCACTTTCATGAAATCTTTCCTGTAGGTATATTTTACTCTAAAGTCTTTGAACTTAGTTGTTATCGCCGTTTGAAATTAAAATATTTATTTAAACTGTCCCAAAATAGCTTCGTACAATTTCTTACTGACGATTCTGTGCAACCCAAATGGACAGGCTAATATGTCACTCTCCAGAACAGGCTCACTGAGTACTTAGTGGAAAAAAAATTCTGTTGCCTACTAAGTAAACATAATTACTCATTTTTTGAAAAAAAACTAATTCATGTCACCTGTAAAGTAGTTTTATTTCATTTGTATATTTCTTCTTATTCAAAGTGCTAATTTTTGTTCTCAGGTCTGATCGTGAGAAACGCAGACATCATTCTCGACGGTCTAGATCTAGATCACGTGAACGTCGCCGTTCTAAAACCCCGACTGAACGTGAAAGTTCATTTGAGCGAGATTTAAAACGTGCACGAGAGCGACAAGAACGTGATCGACGTAGAAGCCGAAGTTAGATTAACTGATTCTTAATTATGTGTATCTAATGTTATTTGTATTTACTGACTGATAAAACCTATTGCTTTTGTTTTACATTGTGTTTACATTGACTAAAAACAATAAAATCTGTATTATAATTTTTTATATTGCCATTATTACTTTAGTAATTTCCTTGCACGCACATTGTGTTGATTGTGTTGAATTATCGGTAGCTGCTAAACGCTTGATTATTTCGTTACTCAATATTGTACCCTCACCTTTGATCGGATAGTTTATAATACTACGTCCGGATTCAGAAAAAATGATGACAGTACTATATATGACTGTCCTATATGTTCAGTTCAGTTTTAAGCGTTGTTTAATGCATCGTAATGGAAGCTGAATGTAAGGTTTTTAAGATTAACAAAGTTTGAAATATTGTGTCTATAAGTTGGAGTTAGGTTCTGACTAGGATTCAACTCCAATCTTAAAACTTAGCGAAGGCAGACAGACAGATACAACTCAGAACTTCGTACGTATGTACATCAGTCCTGGTTACCATACCGCATTAGCACAGAGACGCAACCGTCAGTTCAAATCCAATAGTGGTAGCCGTAATAGAAGTATTAGCAGTAATGGAGATGATTAGGGTATAATTCAGTGAGATAAAGTTAGAAAGAGAAAGATAGAGATGATGAGGAATTCTGAAGGTTAGAGTTTGAGAGAACACAGAGTGGATGCACCTGCGCCATTGCAAACGGTTTTGAGCCATGTCGTTCAACGTCTCTAACCATTGATGACTCCCTTCTCGCGGATCCCAACCAGGTAGCCTACATCTACGAGCATGACTCAGTTCATTTGTCAGTGATTTCATGGATTTCTGCCATGTTTTGGCTTGGCCGCCCCCAGCTTTCCTCCAACCTATTTCTACACCGCAAAACATAGTTCGTTGAGGCAGTCGGTGGTTAGCCATACGTAACACATGTCCCAACCACCTCAACTCTTAGCGAAAGTAATCATTAGTTGTTTGAATGATGCTTAAGACTAAGCAAGCATGTTGTAAGTAACTACTTACCTCTCTTGTGCCATAGCCTGCCGACCAGGAACCCCCAACCAGCTCTCTCCTAGATTTTCTTTCTCGTCCGTAAGTTCTATTTGTCCTCCGATCCCTGGCGCTATGTGTTCTTTGGTCTGCCTTTTTCCCCTTTACCTTTAGCCACACTTCGGTTGCCTACGATCTCCAGTCAACCTGAATGGCGAATCGACGTAAGTCGTCCGACTCTTTATGAAGCTCAGAAAGCCGTAGGAAATCTGAAGCGAGGGAAGGTAGCAGGCTGTGAAAGATTATCCCCTGAGGTTTTAATGGATGATGATCTAGTTTTAGCAGTAAGATTGACTGAGATGGAATCTGGGAACTAGACGTAAATCCATCCAACTGGTCTCAGTTACTGATAGTCCTAGTCTATAAGAAAGTACAAAGTCCTCTTGTGACAATCACAGAGGAATCAATTTAACTAATATAGTGTCCAAAATGTTAGCCTCGATAATACTTAAACGTCTAACTAGAGCTCGTGAATAGTAGACTCGAGCAAACTAAGCTGGTTTCATACTTGGACGTTGATGTATAAACCATATATTCCCACTTCGCTCAGTCCTGCAACATCGACACATATTCAGGTGTCCGAAAATAGTTTTATTCGTTACTCTTAATGCAGCATTCGACTCAGTTGATCGTCCAGACCGTAGCTGCTACCTTGACGTGGTGGTCGGGCTTGACTATCGTGATGACCCAACCGAGCTATACTGTCTGAAACATATGTTCCTGAAGGTCCTACCATGCCAGACAGGTCGATTGGAGAACGATGAGACTAAAAGCAGCTACCCAAGGTCTGAGGGCGAAGTCGTACTGCTGACTGCAGAGGGGTGTGACGGCAGTAAGGTGTTTCCCTCGGACAACCAGCATCTGCAGCGATGCTGCCTTCTAACAAGGAAGGAAGGGTTGTAAAAGGTCGACCCTAAGAATGTCACACCTCACCCTACCTCACGGATTTCCGTCTCCTTGGGTAAGGGTGCCCACTAAGGGCTTTCAAGAGCGGAGCTAATACTCCAAAAACCCTTCGTAAAAAGGCCGTGCTTGACCGGCCTCAAGCAGTTATCCTTTGGACTCTGCGGTCACGCACCCAGGTCTCTAAGACCAACACTAATCTATCTTACTTTTCAGGTCCCTCAAGTAACAACCTTCCACGGTGTGGGCAGCCGGGAAGTGACAACCGCCCTCATACCCGTAACAGCACACGAGACCAAATTGGTCAAAATCAAATTCTTCCTACACCCCCCTAGTACCTCTCTTATCTCCGCGGCTAACTCCACCAGCATTCATTTATCACACTGCACCGCTAATGCAAACAATGCGAGTTCACGAAACGTCATTTCTGGTCTCCTGAAACCCCGTTCTAGACTACATGTTGGAGCATTTAATGTACGGACATTATGTCAAATAGGGCAACATGCTTCGTTAGCTAGGACTTTAGAATCTCGTGCCGTCGATGCGTGCTGTGTCTGGGAAACGCGCATACAGGATCCTAGTAAAATCATTAATTTGATTTCACCCTACCAAAATGAAGAAGCATCCCGGTTTACTCTTCATGTATCCGGTAGCCCTGATGCTGCTTCCCGGGTTCTCGCTTGTGTAGGTATAGTATTGAGTCGTAGGGCAGAACTATCTCTCCTTGACTGGATCCCTGTAGATAGTCGTTTGTGCTCTGTCCGACTGAACGGGACAGTAAGGACTCGGAAAGATAGGAACACCCGTCGTTGCCTCTTCGTCGTATCTGCCCATGCCACCACTGACCGCAGTTCAGACGAGGTTAAAGATGAGTTTTGCAGAAAGCTTTCGGACCTCCTCCAAAAAGCTAGGCGCTCTGATATAGTAATAATGGCTGGTGACTTTAATGCCTAAGTAGGTAGACTAAGTGAAAATGAAAGACACCTAGGTGGATGTTATGGTGTCGCGGCTCAGAGAACAGACAATGGTGACCGTTTGTTGCAAGCATGCTCAGACAACCGCCTATTCTTAGCAAACACTAACTTTAGGCATAAGGAAAAGCATCTGTTGACCTGGCGACCCCCGAAGTCGTCTCAACGTTGGACTCAACTAGATCACATCGCCATCAGCCACCAATGGAGGGGTTCGATAGAAGACTGTCGCTCGTTCTGGGGCACATGTTTGGATTCAGATCATGCCCTAGTGCGAGCGCGTATTTGTTTGAAGCTTACTGGGCGCAGGAAAGACGCCGTAAGAAAGCCTCTAGATTTTTACTTAATGATAATGAGGCTAAGAATATATTTCAGGAACCACTAGAAAGACAGTTAGGCGATCATTTAAGCGATTCCCATCCGGAGGCAGGATGGAATGATATCAAGAAGGGTGTGGAAACAGCAGTGATATCTGCTAGTAAGGTTGACCATAAGTCTAGAATGAAGTCGTGGATCTCAGTAGCATCCACCGAACTGATGGATGCCCGAAAACTCATCCCACCTGACTCTGAACATGATGAAGAACGAAGTCAGCTTAGGCGCAGGCCGATAAAAAGCCTACGCAACGACCGTGGTGGGTGGCGAAAGCGAGAGAGATGGAAAAGGCAGCGGCGATCGGCAACAGTAGGCAACTATTTAGGCTCATCACGGAAACTGGTATTAGGAACCCAAGTGTGAGTGAGACTTTTTCAGAAAAGGATGGTCTTATTATCCATTCTCAATCCAGGAGACTGGATCGATGGGCAGAACAATTTTAGGATCAGTTGAACAGGTCTCGAGCCACTCTTCGGTTACCCACGATCTCCAGTCATCCTGAATGGCAAATCGAGGTAAGTCCACCTAGTCTTTATGAAGTTGAGAAAGCGTTAAGAAATCTGAAGCGAGGGCGAGCTGCAGGTCCTGATAGACTTACCCCTGAGATATTTAAGGATGGTGGTCCAGTTTTAGCAGCTAGGTTGACTGAGATCTTAGGTAGAATCTGGGAACTGAACGTAATCCCATCCGACTGGTCTCAATCACTGATTGTCCCAATTTATAAGAAAGGACACAAGTCTTCTTGTGACAATCACAGGGGAATAAGTCTAACTAATATAGTTTCTAAATTGTTAGCCTCGATTATACTTCGACGCTTAACGAAAGCTCGTGAAGAGCAAACTCGAGAAAACCAGTCTGGTTTTCGACCTGGACGTGGTTGTATAGACCACATCTTCACACTACGACAGGTCCTGGAACACAGACACACATTTAGGCGTCTGACAACATTTGTTTTCCTGGACATTAAGGCGGCATTCGACTCAGTGGATCGTGAGGTTCTGTGGCAGTGTCTGTCATTGAAAGGTGTACCAAAGAAGTACATTAACCTCATACAAGCAGTCTACTCGAACACCACTGGTCGAGTGAGAGCTTATGGCGAACTGTCACCGGAATTCTCTACTTCAAGTGGTGTCCGTCAGGGATGTCCACTTTCTCCATTCTTGTTTAATTTTATCATAGACATGCTCTTAGAAATAGCCTTATCCTCGTCTGAATTTTCAGGAGTAGACCTATTACCAGGAGGCTCGCTTATCGACTTAGAATATGCCAATGACATAGTCCTACTTGGTGAAGACGCTGACAAGATGTAGAGTCTTCTGACTATCCTAAGCAACAATGCAAGCATGTTGGGGATGTGGTTTTCCCCGTCAAAATGCAAAGTGTTGCTTCAAGATTGTGTTGCATCGGCACCTGAACTAGTGATAGGGAGTGAAGTAGTCGAGCGTGTTGAACGCTTCACTTATCTTGGGAGTCTCATCAGTGCCGATGGCCTGGTGACTGACGAAATCTCAGCTCGGATACAGAAGGCTCGTTTGCCTTTGCCAACCTGGATCACCTATGGCGCAGGCGAGATATCCGTTTGCTGACTAAATGACGAGTGTACTGCGCAGTAGTTCGCTCCGTCCTACTGTACGGATGCGAGACTTGGCCGTTAAGAGGAGAGGACTTCAGTTGGTTACTAGTCTTCGATCATCGATGTCTCCGAAGCATCGCTCCTGTATCATGGGACAACCGAGTAAGCAATGCTGTCGTTAGGAAACGAGTTCTAGGTAGGGAGGTCAGATCACTAGATGAAGTGTTGAAACTTCATCAGT